CCTGGTGAAGTGTGTAATGTGAGCTGAGAGAGAAGTATGGAAGCCCAAGGAATGAAGTTGTCTGGGTCAAGGGGCTAAGCGGATGAGGGTAGTGTGATAGGACTGCAGCATGAGTGCCAGGCAGCGGGAGGACCCCTGGAGTGCGGCTGGGCAGAGTGCCTGTGCTCTCCAGCTTGGTTCACCTCTTCTGTGGTGGCGTGCGGTAGCAGAGAGAGTTGGCTTAATCAGGGGTGGGTTTGGCCAGGTGAGTACAGTGGACGACGAGAAGAGGAGCAGTGGGCCACGTGATGTAAGCCAATAAGGAAGGATGATGTGGAAGGGGTTGGATGTCACTGTTTTGAAGATCCTGGGGGTGGGGGTGGAATTGTTGGACTGAGGACTCAACAAACTGGAAGAGGTGAGTTGCTGGCTGCAAAGTGAGATGCTCAGAATTACACTGGAAGAGGTGCAGTCTAGATAGAAGACCAGCACAGCACAGGAGAAATACAGTGTGAGTCACGTGGGTCATGTTTCATTTTCTAGGAGCTACATTAAAATGGTGAAAAAAAAAAAAGGGTATAATTGATTATAATGTGTTTAACTCAGTATCTCCAAAATGTGATAGCAACTTGTGGCCCTGGCCACGTTTCAAGCATTCAGTAGCCCCGTTAGGCTAGCGGCGGCTACATTGGACAGCCAGCTTTAGAAGGTATGAGTAAAGGAGTAGGAGGTTGAGAGTATTGGTGTTGGTATCAGGGTATTGGATAGATAATCAGGAATTATGGTGAGAGAATGACTGTGGGCTAGCTCAGACAGCAGTGAAGGTAGAAGGCTGAGAATGTGGGAGATCTTGCTGACTGAGCACAAGCGTTTATCTGAGTTTGGGGCAGTAGAGGTGAAAGGTTGCCTGATGAGGGGCTTCACAGAGCCAAACAAGGATGAGAGTCAAAGGGATTCTGGATAAGGGACCGGAAGTCTTGGGCTTCCTGTGGCAGCTTATGTGTACAGAATATATGACGTGGTGGGGTAGCTCCAAGTCCTGGTAAGATCAAAAAGGAAGATGTGTAACTTTTTTTAGTATCCCACCTTTTGTATTTATTTTTTTAAAGATATATACTATGATTCTGTATACGTAGAAAATCTCAAAGGATATAGTTGTTGCCTCTGGAGTAGAAGATACCTTTCACCATATCCCTTTTTGTAGGATTAGTTTCTTTGTCTTGCACGTGCAAGTGCTTTAACTTAACCGAAAATCTCCAAATTTAACTAAGCAGCAAAAGTCTTAAATTTACATTCCCTTTGACCCAGTAATTCTCCCTATAGTTCAAAAGAAATAATTATAGATGCCTGAATATATGCACAAAGATTTCTCCACAGGGGTGTTTGTCATAAGCAGCTTTATTTTATTACAGTAGAAAAGCTGCAAACAGTTTATATCCTACAGTAAGCCAGGTAATGTCATGGTATATAGCCATTAAAAGTTGACTGTATACTAACTGTTAGTGACGTGGTAAAGTGTTTAGTAATATTAAATGGGAAAAGGGTGTAAGAAAACACACATGTACCTGTATCACTTCACCTTGGGAGTGTTGAGGCTGCAACGCTTAGGACCTGACGTGATTTCTCTTGCCTCGCTGTATGCAGTGGTATTGCTTATATGTAGTTTCTCGCCACTTTCTAAACTGTTTCTGAATCTACTGATTGGGTTTATTTCTGGACACAGCTAGTCTGCCTACATGTTCTAATTCTGTCAGTTTTAATTAACTATGAATAGTAGTGTGTGCCTTAGAGGAGGTCTCTGGCAGGATCCTTAATAAGCTATGGCAGTTATAGGCTGCCTCCAAGCTGCCTCCAGAGTGTGGGTCCACAGACCGCCAGAAGCAAACCAAAGAGCAAGCAGCTAAGGAGTGGAGGTGTAGGAGTCCTGCAGGACTGTGGAAAACGAATCTAATGTGTAAACCTTTCCACCACCTCACCTGTCTGTCGGTCTGTTGTACTGTGCTGGCTTGCATGTTGCTGTGATGCTGGAGACTGCCTTCAGTGTTTCAGATACCAGCAGGGTGACCCATGGTGGAAAGGTTTCAGTGGAACCTCCAGACTAAGACAGACTAGGAAGACAGGCCTGGTGATCTGCTTCCTAAGATTAACCATTGGAAACCCTGTGGGTCACAACAGAATGTTGTCTCATACAGTGCTGGGAGACGACCCTCTGGGTCGGAAGGTGCTCAGCGTACGCAGTGGGCTCAAGCACACCAGCTGTCACGAGGATAGCGCAGGGCTGCACTCTTGTGTTCTGCTGTCACTTGATGTGAAGCAGAATTGATTGACAGCAGCTAACAATGAAGAGTAGTAGTAAATTTTTGTACTTCTGGATAGCCAGAGGAGTTCATGCTGGGTTTTGTTATTTAATGGTTAATTGCCACTTAGCAGGACAGACTAAACAGTTTAAGTAATTATATGCTAAAGTTTCTTTTCCCTCCTCTCCAGCCTATCCAAGCCTTGGGTAGGCTTTCCCATTACCCTTTCCTGGGAAGATTGTTTAATTTAAGCCTGTGTTTTATAGAGTTTCTGTTTTAAGCTTTGTAGAGGGAAGAGTTATTTAGTGTGTGCTATAAATCAGTAAGTGTCATCCTAATCTAAAATACTAATTCATTGTTATCCTTTCTAGGTAGCAGAGGCTCAGCGGGCAGAGTTTAGCCCCGCCCAATTCTCTGGTCCTAAGAAGATCAATCTGAACCACTTGTTGAATTTCACTTTTGAACCCCGTGGCCAGGCAGGTCACTTTGAAGGCAGTGGACATGGCGGCTGGGGAAAAAGGAGCAAGTGGGGACATAAGCCTTTTAACAAGGAACTCTTTTTACAGGCCAAGTGAGTATATTTACTCTTACCAGGAAAGTGAAATTGAGCCTCTCTAGGCAATTATCAAAGGATCCCTGGTGACACACTAGTTGAAATGTAATGGCTGCAAACCAGAAGGTTGGCGGTTGGAACCCACCAGCTGCTCCGTGGGGGAAAAATGTCTGCTTCTGTAAAGCCTTAGAAACCCTATGGGACAGTTGTGCTCTGTCCTATAGAGTTGCCATGATGTGTCACAATCAACTCAATGACACTGGATTTTTGTGTGTTTTTCTTTTTTTTTTAGTGGGTTTGGTTTTGGTTGGGCAGTTGTCAGGGAGGTTTCCTTTAAACTACTGTGGGAGTTGATTAGTTCTTTTTTTTGGGGAGGCAAGCTCTGAAATCTTGGTAGATATTCTTGGTGCTTAAAAGAATAGAATGGTAAGTAAATGAATGTCTTTAATGTCATAATGAGGTAGAAAGTATTTGCTTTGTAATTGGACCCAGATGTGGATCTTGTTTTGGCCTTTGACTTTAGTCAGTTTCCCTAACTACTTTGAGATTGGGCTTCTCATCTGTAAAGAGGAGGAAGTTATTTAAAGGAGAATTGAATAACAATAAATTAAAGTGCTTTGGCACATGTTTGCTCAAATACTGGTTCCCTTTTGTTTAGAATTGGTTATAATGTAAAATTTGACCTTGTATCTGGACTGAAGTAACCATTTTGTACCTTACATAAACTGATACATTAGTGATTGAATGATCACAGTCTTTTCTACTGCCTTGAACACTAGCTGGGTTCCTGGGGATGATGGTGGAAGTCTGGCTTCTTGCTGGTTAAGGAAACTACAGTCTGGGTTAATTTTAGCTTCAGGGAGGCCTGCAAGGAACTTACCTGGGCTTGGAAGCAGGCAAAACCAAGTTCATGGACTTAGACCCTCTCAGCCTATGGATCCCCTCCAGGGTCAAGGCTCAGTACTGGTACAGTGCTTCACAAACTGTGGCTGCTTATGTCCTGTGTTTGATTTGTGAGTGATGACAGGATGACTTTCTGCTGCGAGCTTGTTGGTGGCTTCTCACAGCTTGCCTTTTCCCTATCTTCCTCCCTGTTTCTAGCTGCCAATTTGTGGTGTCTGAAAACCAAGACTACACAGCTCATTTTGCTGATCCTGATACTTTAGTCAACTGGGACTTTGTGGAACAAGTGGTGAGTAGCTCAGCTCAGCTTAGGAGCTGTTAGTGAGAGAGAACTAGAGGAAGGGACTGTGGTGACACAGCAGCTGTTGACTGTGCTCACTGCTGGTGCCCTTCCTCCATGGCCTTACTGTGGACATTTTCCCAGAGATCAGCCCCTAGTTTCTTCTAGAGTTCATTTTGTGACTCTTAATTGGCACTGGCTTGCAGGGATGGGGTGTTGGAGGCTCTGATCTGAAGGTATCTGAGCAGAGCTGTCCACTATTCTCTCTGCTGGGAAATATAGTAACCAGGGGAATCTGTGCAGGATGTTGGTTACCCTCCTGACCCGGGGTGGGCTTGTTCCATGAGGCATTGCTTTATTGGTTTATTTATTATTTATCTGAAATAATAATAAATTGGGCTAAGCTGTGTGTAAGTGAATAAGCCACACAGCTGCACTTTCATCAAAGCTTCTGTTTTCTACTGAAGTATAGGCTCTAGCTGATCCTAACAGGGTGTTTGATGTAGAATACCTTTCATCCTAATGACAGGCACTGTGAGGAGGAGGCTTTTATTTTGCTTTTGCCCCAAAGTCTAGATTCCTGTCACTATGAATATTCAGAATGTCATCTTGGAGTGATGTTTAAGGACAAATTTCTTTTTGTGGCTATTAAACTTCAGTTCTGCTAAAAGTTAAGTTTCATGTGCATTGGTTAAAAAAGAAATAACAGAATCATACACACCCACTCCTCACTCACAGTCATTGTTAGATTCCAAAGACCAGGTTGTTATGCAAAAGTCGGTATTAGGAAAAAATGGATCACAAAATTGAAGATGACTACATCATTGCATAACTGCCAAACCACTGAGAATCATGGTCCAGCCAAGTTGACACATAATCTTAACCATCACAGTTGGTGTTACTCACACCGTGCACCTTGATGTTTGTACTGTCATATGTATGTCATTAACATGCAAAATAGTCAGACTTTTTTTTTCTTTTTACTGTTGTCATAAATGGGAAATGTCAGATAATGAGACAGTCAATAAGTGAGTAGGTATAAAGTGAAAGTACACATTAACTTTTTCATGGAAATAACTGGTAAATTCTAGACCTTTTTTATGTATGTATATGTGCATATTAAATCTTATTATGTAAATGGCATCATGGTGATTTTAGTCATTTTTTTCCCCTTGCTTATAAAACCAAAAAACCAAACCTATTGCCGTTGAGTCGAATCTGCGTCATACAGACCCTATATGGGACAGAGTAAAACTAGGCTTCCAGTTTCCAAGAAACTCAGGGTTTCTCAGCCTGTAAATCTTTACGGAAGCAAACTGCCACATCTTTCTCCCTTTGGAACAGCTAATAGGTTCAAACAATTGACTTTCCTGTTAGCAGTCGAGTGTTAACCACTGTGCCACCAGAGCTCCTTTCCCTTGCTGTAGAACCCTCAAAATACCTCCTATGTAGTTATTTTATTATGTTAGACCATTATTAGGGTTTCCTTAATGATTGCCTAAATGCCATCTTACATGTCCTTACGTTGTTGAGCAGTGTTGGGAGGATGTGTTGGTGAGTAGAGACGCTGTACAGGGATGGGGATGGGAGAAGAGAGGAGTTAGCTTTGATAATCCTTAGTTCTCAAAGCAGTGAGACTTGTGGTGGTGCTTTGTTTCAGCGCATTTGTAGCCACGAAGTCCTCTCTTGCCCAATATGCCTATATCCACCTACTGCAGCCAAGATAACCCGTTGTGGACACATCTTTTGCTGGGCATGCATCCTGCACTATCTTTCACTGAGTGAGAAGACCTGGAGTAAATGTCCCATCTGTTACAGTTCTGTGCATAAGAAGGATCTCAAGAGGTGAGCTTGAGGCATTGACTAGGTTGACAGCAGTCTGATAACTCCTGGCCTTGCTATGTCTAAATGTCCATGTTATAGTGTTGTTGCCACAGAGTCACATCAGTATGTTGTTGGTGACACAATTACGATGCAGCTGATGAGGAGGGAGAAAGGGGTATTGGTGGCTTTGCCCAAATCCAAGTGGATGAATGTAGATCATCCCATTCACCTAGGAGGTAAGTTGTTCTGTTAACTTTGGGGCAGAAGTAAAACTGAGTTTATCCTCTAAGGCCATAGATTGAAGATAGCATTCTAGAGTCAGAAATTTAATCTTTGGGTAAGCCAGTGCTAGCGTTTTCAAATGGGCCTTTGCTCTGATCTGTTTGGGTGGAGTTGTCAGAGGGTGGTTTGACTCTCAGTTTCA